AACAAAAAAAAAAGAATTAGGCGAGCAAGGGAATTGACAAACGAATCCGTCTCCATCTCCAGCATCCTGTCAGCAACCAAAGAATCAAACATGCCCGGCAGAGAATCTGATTCCCATCGCACCCACCACGCCTCAAGTTGAGCACTGCAGCCAGCTAAGCAGGCAGGTAGAATCTGTAGAGATTCGACGTTCCAGCAGGCTCAGGATAGCGGGAGGAAGGTTGGAGATTATAGCCAAAAAAAGCATCAGCTCGAATTCACACTCCAACCACCCGGAATCCCCGTTTACAGCGCCGCGAAGAGCGGGAGCACCAGAATGCAATCTCCCGGCAGGCCGGCCGGCCGTGATCCCAATTCCATCGTCACTCACGTGAATCGCCACACAAATGACGTCGCGGGAAAGGGGGAAAAAAAGGAATTCTCTTTTCGTGAACGCCAAGTTGGCAGGCAGTGGCATAGATCAAAGGGGATCGCAACAAGAACCAAAAGAAGAGAAAGAAAAACAGATATCTTTCCGCACTGCAAGAAAAACAGAGATCTTTCCGCACTGCATTTGACGAGCGCGAGCGCGCAACCTGAAGACAGCGGGGATCAGGGAGACGCACCGAGATGGAGGCGGCGAGCGGCGGAGGGGCGACCCCGGGGGGCGGCGGAAGGCGGGCGCGGATCTCGCGTCGAAACCAGGGCTCGGCGCGAGATCTGCCGCGGGAGGCGGCGAGGTTCCACCCGCTCGTGGCGCGCGCGCGTGTCACTGCTCTTGTTTTGGGAGGGAGGAGAGGAGGCCGGACGGAGGGGAGGGAGAGGACAGAGGAGAGGGGTGTCGCTCTTGCTCGCCGTCTGGTTGTGGTGCCAATTGGGGGCTGGTGGAAGCGTGGGTGGGTTCACGTCCACCAAACTGCCCCGGGCCCACGCGGCTGGAAGTACTGTCATATGTTTATTTGCAATTTTGTGCCTCTCATCTAGTTACAACTGTAGTATCTGTTTATAACAGACACACACCGACACCACACACACTCCACTTACACGCCATGTACACAAACAGACCCTACAACTACACCTAGATTCTAAGATCGCGTCCATGAGGAGGTCACCGAAACTATCCAAGGCTCCATAGGCAACGGGCGCGCTGCAATCCCTTTGTAGCTCCACGTGAGAGAGGCTGCATCTGTTAAAATGGGGGGAAACCATGGTGGGGATCGTGAGTCGAGCATAGCTCGAACCCACGACCGGCCGCTGCACCACCTGTAGCGTTTACCACTCGAGCTACAGCTCGATCCCATGTTTATTTGCAATTGGAGTACCCGACGGAAAGTAAACTATTGCATGGGAAGTGCTGGCGCCCGGACAATCCATCGGACGGTGCCGCGGACAGAAGCCCTCACACGTCTACGTGACGGAGGCCCACGTTGTTCCTCCTGTTTCTCTTATGCGCTTGTTTCCCCGTCTTTAGCCACGCCATGCTTCTTCACCGCCTCCCACAATCATCATTGCGTCGCCTTCAAGACCGCTTCATCACGACGCCGACGAGCATGCCCCATCGCCTCTAACAAAGCAAGACTTCTATACGCATTCCCTAACGCTTCAGTCCACTATCCTCCGTGAGCCACGCTACCGGCCAACAACATAGAAAGCTGGAATAAAACACGTGCAACAACACGAAAACAACTACTGCGATATTAGGCTGAAGTAGCTGAAACACCATGAACATATTATTGCAACAACACGAAAAGAACTACTGCAACATTCAACTGAAGCGGCTGAAACACCTTGAACATATTATTGCAATAACACGGAACAAACTGCTACAACAATAGGTTGAAGGAGCTGAAACATTTGGAACATATTATTGCAACACTGGGTGTGAAGCATATGAAACAACGCTCGAATAAAAACACTTGCAACAACATGGAACAACTACTGCAATATGAGATTGAAGCAACTGAAACATTTCAAAAATATTATTGCAACATTTGTGCCAAGCATATGAAACATCCAGATCAGAACGATTGCAACATCATCTAGAAACAAGTGAAACATTTTGAAACAGTGCCTGCAACAAAACCTTTGAAACAAAATGCAACATGGGCAAAACATCCCCCAGTTCTACTTGTGCAACATCCTTACGATTCAACTGCAACATACCTCTGAAGCGTCTGAAATAACTGAAAGATACAATTGCAACATATAGGGGGGAGAGAGCTTGCACGGGGAGCCCCATGGCCGCCAGATCTGAGGGCGTCAGGAGCTCTCTGTGGGGGAGGACGTCGGTGTTGGGGAGGGGCGTCGCCAGTGTGTGGAGGAGGGACCCGGGATGTGGGAGGAGGACGCCGGGGTCGGGGAAGGAGACATCGGTGTGGGCGAAGGAGTCGTCGTGGTGGGCGAGGACGCTGGTGTCAAGGAGGGGCGCCGTCAGGGTGGGGAGGAGGGAGCCGGGGTGGGGGAGGAGGACACCAGGGTAGGGAAGGATACGTCGGTGTGGGGGAAGGAGCCGCCGTGGTGGTGGAGGATGACGCCGGAGTGGGAGAGGACGCCGCCACCGCCGGCCAGGAAGGGAGCGAGGTGTGTGGAGGACGGGTGGAAGGCGGCGAGGAGCACGGCCGCTGGCTCGCGGCGCTGCGGAGCGCAATCGGCGGCGCGCGGGGCTCCTGGATCCATGAGGGAGGAGAGGGAGAGGAGAGGAGCAGCGGCAACGACAACAAATGTGTGGACGGGCTGAACTGCAGTGCGAGCGGATAAGACCATGAGAGACGAGTGGAGGAGGACACGCGGCACCATATCGAATCGTTATACGACGCGCGTCCAGAACCGTCGGACGCCAGAGTCATAGCATTACCGATACTGCATCGGTACGGCAGTTTGCCACCCCGTGATGTTCCTCGACGATGAGGCAAGCTGTTAAACATACTCCCTTAGTATATGTGTTTTCGTTTCCGGAGAAACAACTTTGACAAAATATATATTAAAAATATTAATATTTATGGTACATAATTGGTATCATTGGAAAGATCTTTAAATCTAGTTTTTTAATAAATTTATTTGAAGATACAAATGTTGTATGTATTTTTTATAAATCGAGTCAAACTTCCGGCATGAAAACCGAAAACGACAGATAATTTGGGACAGAGGGAGTAAACATTTTCGATCACGGAACACCATCGGTAAGAACAGAGAATAAATGAATGAAACTCTCTTAACATGATTACTAACTTTATATGAGTCATAAAATAAAATTAAATGTTTATGAAACCATAGAATAACACTTTTCTATTAGGAGTTCATGTTTCAGTTTACTCTATATGGCATGACGGTTTTGAAAACGACCATAAGAAAACCTCACTGAGACTGGCATAATGGCCTAGCTCGGTTCCAATTTTAATCCTACCCTAGTTTCTAAGAAAGAAGACATGGTGTATTGACTGCAGTGCTATCTTCTTCTTCTTCTTCTTCTTGGATAGAATGGCTATACATTGCTTCCACCATCTTGGGACGGATTGATGTGATGCTTTTAAACTTCTATGGATCTGAGCACAATTTGATAAAAAAAACCATCGGTGGAGTACTGCTTCCAAAATATAATTCTTTTTAGGATTCTTTCTCGTCCAACTCTAGTTTTAGGGTCTGTTTGGATCATCTGTGGCTAGTTGTTAGTTCAACTAAAGTTTATATGACAGTTTAGATGACTAAGTTTAGTACTATGTTGTTTCGATACATGAGCTATGACTCTACGAAGACTGAGGAGGGACTAGCAACTAGTTAGGCTAAACTAGAGTTTAGTCCACCTATTTGATGGGATAGGACTAAACTTTAAACTTCAGTTAATGATGATTTAAATAGAACCTTCTTAACCTTTGACCACTAAAATGATGAAAAGGTCAAGTTCATTGATTGAAAAGCTAAGGTTTGATGATGCTAGACTAGACTTACATTGGAAAATACTTTCGTAACGAAAGCGCGTGTTTTACTAGCCAAATCGATACCTCGTGGCGGACTAGTGTTAAATAATTTTGTGTTTTTGCATTAGATTGAGAATTGTCAAGAGAAATCTACTTTGTGATTTTAAACTAAATATTTCAGAAATGAAAATGGAGTCAGAGCTTGAAACCGCGTAAAACGAGCGTTGTCCGATATCCTATTAACAAATAAAAATTAATAAATTAGGGAAACTAATAATCCCATGGAGAAGAAAGAAGTGGCTACGCAAAGTTTTTCATCGCAAGCTTTGGACTTTTGACGGGTGAATGTGCGAAAGCGGCACGACAAAGGAGAAGAGCACGCGATTTTTGGCGAGGCGCCGTCGGGGGGTCCCACGGCCAGACTTGCCGGTCGCGTACGTGCGCCGCTGGCCCGTCGGGCGCAGGGCACTGTCGCGTGGGCCCGACGGCACGCGGCCCACGGGACGCCGGGCCTCCTGTCCTGGGCTCCTGGCTCCAGCCGCTGCGGGCGGTGGCTGGCGTGTCGCGGCCATTGCCTTTGACCGCCCGTTACCCGTATATAAGCACCGGCATATAACTTCGCGTGTAAGCTAATTCCGTCAGCAGCCTGTTAGCATGTAAAAACTGTAATCATAGTAAAATATCATTTTATTTATATCGTCACGAACTACAGTATTTATAATAATGTATTCTCTTGTATAGATATAAAATAATTACAGATTATCTCATTTTCATTTTTAATTATCTGTGACTTTCGTGGCAATACGTATAGCATCCTTCTAGTACAGAAGAAAACAACATCACCACAGCTGTTTGCAGCCAAATGACGAGGAGTCGGAAGCGGACACAGATCGTCCAGATGGCGTGACGAAACGCGCCGGACGGCGAGTCGGCGACGCGACATGTGGACGAGGTTTACCGTCGTGATACAGCTCACAATAAATCAGCGAATAATATCGAGATATCTTTTTTTTTCTGCCACCGGATGATACCAGTGAGTGTAATACTGTAATAAGATTATCTGAATCGACCATGCTGAAGCTCAACAGTAATCTCAAGAGTCAAGACCATGTGCCGATATCCAATTAGCCGTGGTGGAAAGGTAATCGCAAGCTGAACAGTAACTTCAAGGCCATATGCCGATATCCAAGCCGTCCGTATAGGTGCTGCATCTTCGTAGTGGTGGTCGGTGTAAAGGTGTGTGGACTGGATGCAGCTTAAGGCTTAAGTCGTGGTGTTCATATTATATTAGTATATAAATATAAAAGAGAATCCACCGAAAAATGAAGAAATAGAATCAATTTTAATAAAAAAAGTAACAAAAAGATAATGTTTTCGAAAAAGAAAGAGTACGAGAATCAAAGAACGCCCTGCGTTTGCAAAGAAAAAGATAGCACGGACGACGGACAGTGGAACCAAATCAAGATGCGCAAGACTCGAGGTAGAGTAGTTGAACACTTGAACTTGAGTCAGTAGTAGAGTTAAACAAAGGTATCGAATTGAATTGGAGATATATACTTTATAAGAGTTTATTAAAGGTTTGGTGAAATGAGCGTAGCTTAGCTCGTTGTGTTGTTTATCTATTTAGGTTTATAGATCATTATTCGGATATTTATTTGAGTTCATTTTCTACATATTTTATCTTGTGTACACTCTATAAAGCCATTCTCGTTCTTTATCTTTGGCTTACGAGAAATCCATAATATTAGATATCCATTTAAAGAGATTGTTGAAGAATATTTTTTTCATCAAAATTCCTATTTCTATAAATTAGAAAGAATATAAAAAAAGTCTCTTAGAGTTGTTCCTAAGTCCTTAACTTTATGCGGATACTCACATTTGTTTTTCGCCTGTATTTATTTTAGGATATGGAACGTGCTCAGTCTTTTAGAAGTGTCCTTAGAAGTAGGTGTATGTGTGTGTTTATATCTTTCAAAAGTGGCCATAGAAGTAAATAATTTTAGGATATGGGATGTGTCCAGTGGCGGATCTGCCGGGGGGGGGGGGGCTGCCGGGGCTCAAGCCCCCCCTACCCTGACCGCGCCATTGGAGCCCCCCCTCAGCCCCTCCATAAAAATTTCAGCCATTAATCATTAGGAAGGAGGAGCTGGAGACGTTTCCGTCGCTGCCTCGCTGGTGACAGAGGTTGAAGACGAGTGGTGGATGGAGTTGTCTGCTTCCTGGGCCGGAATGTGTATGTTTTACTTTCAGTTTCATTGGCCCAGTTCACAGCCCATCAAGAAGACCGGTCACGGCCTCACGGGAGCAGCGGAGTCGCACTCGCACTCGACTCGAGCAACTGGGCGAGCGGCGGCGGCTTCAGCTAGGGTTGGCTCCAACTCCAAGTCTCCAACCCAACGGGCGACGGAGGCGCCGGGATCCCGGCGGGCGGAGGCAGCAGGCAGCAGCGGCCGCGCCCGCGCAGCTGCACAAGATCTTCAAGCTCTGCGGCTCTCCGTCCGACTGTCCGAGGACTACCGGACGTGACGCTCTTCAAGCTGCAGCGGCCGTACCGGCGCAAGATCGTCGAGACGTTCAAGGACTTTACCCCCACGGTCCTGGCGCTCCTGGACATGCTGCTCGCCATCGAGCCGTCGGCACGGGGCACGGTGGCCTCTGCTCTGGACAGCGAGGTAATTAAGCAACTCTCGTCAGTTTTTCATTAGAACAACAAACACGCCATGGAAACTGTCAGCACTGAAACATTGCTGCATTGTATTGCATCTCTGTCATCAATGGACTGTCTGTCATCGTCAGTTCTTCAAGACCAAACAGCAGGGCAGAGGCCAAGCAGGTATACTCTTTTTCTTTAGATTTGCCTTTTGAACTTTGTAATCGTTCAAGATTTGATTAGGATTTAATAAATTGCAGATTATTTAAAATGTCCAAAAGAACATTGCACACATATTTTTCTGGTATAAGTAGTACATCAACTCCAGACACTGATGACAACATAAATCAACCAATTCGGCGTAGAGTGGAGTTTAGTCAATCCAATGTAACTGGTGATCTAGAAAATCGCATACCAATTGAAGAATATCCGCCAGAAACTAGAGACCAAGTTACAAGGGCATATGCTTTGAGATGTCTGACCCAACCTCGTAATCTTACCTTTGCTCGTAAATGGCAAAATGGTCAATGGAGATCACAGTCATCATGTAAAATATTTAAAACTGTTATATCTTAGATTTGTATGGGATATAATTGAGTGAAGTTGGTCTAGCTCTTTTTGGCCCAGCCCCTCCTAAATATTTTTTCTAGATCCGCCACTGGATGTGTCCAATCTCAGTCTCAATCTTTTGGAAGTGCGCTTAGAAGGTGTATGCTGTTTATATAGATGAGTGCGCATACGTATACGAGCGAGCATCGTATTCGGAAAAAAAAAGAGTTCACAGGAAACGACCACACGCCAGGCGTTTCCACATTTATAAAGAGACAAAAGGTTCTTGTAAATTTCACGCCTTCTGACGCCGATGGAAAGGTTTGGCCATTTTTCGTTTCGCCAACTCTGTTCACGTCCGTCGGGTTCGAATTTGTTCTCACTGTATTGAATCGTGGATTATTTACTGCTGCCTGGTTTGGTGTGAGAGAAAAATATTGTTCTGACTGAAAATTTATGATCGTTTACGACAAGCGAACATGTATTCGAGAGCGACATGAAACATTACAAAACCGCACGTGCTGCACATGGCAACCACACCAATGCAGCACAGCTCAAGAATACCATCCCCCATTCCCCAACAACATGGTAGGGACTTCCTGATTTCCTTCAGCCGCGCAAATGCAGCAGAAAATTCAGACAGCAATACATCTTCTTCACACGATAAATGCTTGAGGAAAAGTATATAAAGTTCAAATAAATGAATTAGTGATACGCCCCAAGTTCCGCCATCCAACAATACGAAGTTACTACAGACAACCCAACCCATACATCCCGATCCGAGGATCATCATAACCTCTAATCAGTGTACTCGAAAGCCGGGGCGGCTGGGGCTCATCGTCGACAGCCATGGCAGCTGGCTCGCTGGCGCTGGATGCCGGGGCATTGGTCGTGGCGGCGGTTGACGGCGCGTCAGTTAGGGTGAGCTCCTCGGCCTCCGTGGGCTTGAGGTCCTGCAGGAGGACGAAGCCTGAGGGGGCAGCCTTCACCGGCTTGTACCTGCTGTCTTCCAGGAACTTTATGAACTTCTCCTGGGCTGGAACGACCCGGGCTGGGTTTGTCAGAATCTGGAACGTAGGCTCTGGTTCGGGGGCCTTCTTCTCTGCAGCGGCGCCATCCACCTGAGCTCACACAAAAACCAATTGCCAGCGTAACGATCAGTTGGATGCAAATCAAAGCAAGCAGTTAAATCAACTTGGACACAAATCAAAGCAAAGCAGTTAATAGTTCAATACACTGCATTGCTTACCTGCATCGAAGTTGAAGCTATGGAAGACTCCTCTGCTTTCTCCTTGGCCTTGCTCTCTGCTTCCTTCTTTGCCCTAGACTTAGACTTGGCATACGTCGACAAGATGGCCGCCGGCACCTTGACTGATGCGGTCGCAGTCTGCTGAGTGACTGGCTTGGGGTAATCGAACAGCGACGGCTTAGCGTTCGACAGGAACTCAAACTTTGGCACTTTCAGGTCAGAGTTGAGGCCGATGAGGGCCGTCGGAGAGAAGGCAAGGCTTATGAAGTAGGTGAGCGGGTACCAGTACCAGAACTGGGTGAAAACAGCTAGTCCGACAACAGCGGTGAGCCTGTCATGCTTTGACCTCGACTTGAGCTTGATGGTGACATTCCTGCCACCGGCATCGAGAATACCGGAAGCCAGTATTGCGCCCATTTTGCTCATGGTATCCTCGTGCTTGTCAAGGATTATCTTTTCCAACTGGCGCCTGAATGCTCCGACACGTGAATCGTAAGATTCATTGGTCTGGATCATCACCATTGCCATGGCAATGAGAGCACCCTGCCGTACAAAGTCGACGACGTCTGATGTCAGAGGCTCCAGTAAGGAGATGGCTTCACTTAATCCTGTTCCGGCACAGGAGATTCCAACAGCTAGAGCTGCACCATAACGGACATGTGGATTGTATGATTCTGATAGTAGGGACACAATTCTGGGTGTCTGTTCAGGCTCGTTGTACAGGACAAAGCCAAGAGCCAACACTGCAGTCCTCCGCACATCATCGCTCACGTCCGACACAGCAAAATGCAGAAGCTGGTGGATAGCTTTGTTATTTGCAGTCCCTCTGTATGCTAGAGCCAATGCATACATACCACCATAACGAAGTATGGGATCTTGATCTCTAGTCATTTGTTCAATCAAGGTGTCAGCTTCTTCTTCCCTGCCATACACCGTCAATGCAATTCCAAGTGACAAGCCCCTGGAGATAGGAAAGGAGTCAGAACAGGAACATCTTTACCATCTTCACAAATAAATATCATGTGTGGAGTAGTGCATTAAGAACTTGTTGTCAAAAGGCATCCTATTGCATACCTGATAATTTTCTCATGTTGTGTATCATGAGCATAGGCAAGCATCTCTGTGGCCTTCTCACTGGCCGTGCCAACCATGAGCAAACCCATGCCAATACCAGCTGCCTCACTGGCCACAGCACTATCCGTGTACAGAATATTCTTTATGTCCTCACATATTTCCTCATCTGATGTACCTAGTGCTGCAAGCCCGAGCCCCAGACAAGCACCATGTTGGACCACCTGTATTGTTCAAAGTTAGAATGTAATTGTGTGAAAGGAAGGAAACATGTGTATGGTTGCTAACTTGCTACAGTACATATATAATAAGTAACAAATAATTGAACTTTCCCAGTGACAACATTTGCCTCACTCCTACATTTCCCCCACCTGCAGACTACTATAAGACTGCAGCTATTTCACTCAAGAACATAAACTACATCGAGCTGTATACTGTAGTCACTCTCATGAAAGGATTGTTACAAACCAAAGATTTGGGAATGTGGCCCTGGAATAGTACCTCAGAAGTGGCGTTGCGAAGACTCTCACGAAGAAAGTCTTTGATTCCTTCACCATGGTTGGCATGAATCAAACCAAGAGCATAGAGGGCACCTCCTTCCGAGTATGGGCTACCACTGCCACCAGCACCATTCTGAGGCAGGTAGGGGGCCATTAATGCGCGGCCTTGTTGAAGATGACCTCTATGAATGACGCCTAGTCCAGCAGTGGCACTGAACTTGGCCCAGTTGGTTGCCCTACCTAGCCATTCCTGTAATACAGACCAATATGAGATAAATATATGGATATAAAAATTGAAGATGCTAGGCATTTGGTAACATCAAGCACACTGCATGAAACCAATCATACCAAGTTTTCTCTGAGGAAGGTATCAACTGTTGTTCCGGCATGCATGATTGCATTGGAGCATATTGTTGCGCTATGGCAGACACTGTTCCTCATTTCCACAGCTTGCTTTATAGTCTTCAAAATTTGAAGATCAGACCTGTTAAATGAACAAAAAATAAATTTAAGACACAAAACTAAAAGAACAGTCAGTTGTTACAATTCATCAGTCAGATAATGTCACTTTACCTATTATGGCTGTATAGGAACTGCAATGTCAACTGAATAGATGTCTCTCCTGACAGTATGCCCTTGATTTTTGTCATCCTATCAGCATGTGTTGCTGCATTTGGATCCACAGTGGTAGCACTGCCGTTTGGCATGTTTATGTCGTCTCTCATCTGGACATCCCCAGATGGTTCTGTAGCAGCATTAGTTTGATTACTTGGTACAGCCGGTCCGCTGTCAGGGTCCACACGGGCAGAAGTATGTGAACTCAATGCATCAAGGTGATTCCGCACATTCAGGAGGAAAGCCTGATTTTCATTTTCAGCAAGATCGAAAGCAGTTTGGTACGCAAGGAGAGCATCATCCTGGCAAATGAACATAAGGTTAAGTTTCAAAAACAAAGGCAATCAGCAAATTAAGAAACCCTCTTGTTTGGCAAAGGGAAAAAAGAGGCATACGTTGCTTCCAGAAATCAGCTTGTCCAAGATGCTTGCAACACTTACAGGGTCACCCAAGAACATAAGACACTGGCAAATGCTTAAATAATCTGGATTTGGCAATGTCTGATATATTTTGACAAGACATCGTAGAATCTGGAAATACAGAAACAAAATGTTAGACAACACGATGATTTTCTAACATTTTGTGCACAGTAGTTGTGTGCCAATCACAAGAGGTTGAATCAATTGGCAGGATTTATAATATCAATCATCCATAGCATGCCTACCTCCAATCGATATTCGCGGTGACTAACATATTGGTGAGACAGATTGATGCAATATGAAAGAGCTCCATGAAGATTATCACATCGAGAAATTGCTCCCTCCAGTTTATCCAGTCTCCGGCACTCAACAGACATACCCATGGCCTGTTGATACTTTCCATCAAGAATGCACCTGAAAGGCAACATGTATGTGTGAGCTCAGAACTGCAAAATTTTAACAAACCAAGAAACAATGGACCATGAGGAAACTATCATACTTGTCCAACATCCTTTCCACAATGGCCTCCAGCCTAGGGTCCATTGTTTTTTCTTCCCCAGTGGCCCTTGATTGGATGGCAACATATTCATCCAAAGCTTTTGCTGAATAAAGAAACAGGGCAAAGGAGGTAATGTTAACACAGTACTTTTAGTGCTGGCAATAATTAACTGGTGCCAGGCGCCAGGCAGTTCCTCACCTAACAGTGTTTGAGCATAATCAGAGTCGTCAGAAACATCAAACAGGGGTCCAGCGCCAAGTGCATACGACAGAGCATCATTTAGCTCACCCAAGTAGAAAAACACCTTAGAGGCAACTAGTGCTGCAAGCTGCCTCTGGACAAACTCTTCGTCTTCATACAAACTCTCACTGCAAGCAGCAGGAAACAAATAGTGAGAAATACAAGCGCAAAGGAAAGCACCCAAGCTTATACTGACTGTCAAAACTTTTTTACACAGGATAAAGAGACAAAATATTTTGGCCCATGCACATCAACTCCCTTCTAAAATGAATGTAACTCCAAGGAAATAAACACCAATTCTCTTGGTATGATTGGTTTCATGCAGTGTGCTTGATGTTACCAAATGCCTAGCATCTTCAATTTTTATATCCATATATTTATCTCATATTGGTCTGTAAGGCAGCAGGAAACAAACTGGGCCAAGTTCAGAAATACTGCTGGACTAAGCGTCATTCATAGAGGTCATCTTCAAGCTTATACTGACTGTCAAAAATTTTGCTGGTGGCAGTGGTATAAAGAGAGGAAGGATTTTGGCCCATGCCAACCATGGTGAAGGAATCAAAGACTTTCTTCGTGAGAGTCTTCGCAACGCCACTTCTGAGGTACTATTCCAGGGCCAGTCATGAATAATCTTGGTATTCATACGGATCCTTCTAAAATGAATGTAACTCCAAGGAAATAAACACCAATTCTCATAGCACTTACTCGGTATCTCCACTACAAGTGAATAGCTTCTGTTGAACTGAGGAGCAACTAATAAGCTAAAGGCAGCTCCCACATTAAACAGTATAAACACATAGATCAGTACTACTTTGCAACAGGTTACAGCTTTTTATTTTAAAGAACAAAGTTATCACATTTGATTCATATCCTATCATGACATCCACAATCTAAAAGTTCAGGATTTGTTGCCTTAAACAATCTAGAAACCTAGTAAGAAAGTTCAGATTTTTCAGCAAACAGTGTCCATGACTTGGAGGGCACGAATCATAACAAGCTCTAAATTCTAAAAATTCTAGGTTTCCAGTAACCAGTGGCAGCACATTAACCCTCCCAAAACCTCCATCCGAACAGATCGAACCCAGGGTTCCCTCTGAAGTTTAAATCGAAAACTCGACGCGGCGCTGCCGACGCCATCTAGCCGAACCTCTCGAGGCGAGAAAGAATCGAACCTAGCCAAACCGAAATTCGCCGAAACTAAACGAAACGCGCGGCGACGGGGCGCCGCAGCACCCGCCGACGGCCGTGGCAGCGGCAGCAGAACGGGCAAATTGAGGGGGGCGGGAGTGGAGCGCCCGGCTGGGGGAGCGGGGAAGGGCGCGGGGAGGAGGAGGGGACTTACATGGAGGAGACGCTGGTGGAGATCTCGTGCCAGAAGGCGTGGACGAGGGAGTTGAGGCTGGCGAGCGCGTGGAGCTTGAGCTCCGGCGCCGGCTCTTGCAGCATCGCCAGCAGGGAGCCCGCCGAGCTCACCATCACCGCCGCCGCAGCCATGTCCGCCGCCGCCTACGAGTACCGATCCGCCGCTGAGGGGTTCGCGTCGATAGGGCACGGGCTGCCCTCTTGCTGCTCGCCGCCCGTCGAGGTCTGGGTGCGGGTGCGGGTGCGGCTTTGCTACCTTGCTTGGAGCAGAAGAAGGTCGCGGATTCGATTCTAGGTGAGGGGGCTTTGGGGACCGCGGCGCAAATATAAGGGTTGGAGGAGGGCAATTCGGATATGTGTTTTTGTTTCGGAGACGTGTTTCTCCTGTAGCTGTAGTGCTGATTTTCAATTTAATAATTTAATATAATACTGAATGAATCGACATAGGATACGTATTCTGTACGTCTCCGACTGTGGCAAGCCCGGGTGCAACGCATATATCTAGTGGAAATATATAGTGCCCTATAAGATATAATATTTTTGTATAATAACAAGGCATGATGCTTATTGTATTTTCACAAGTTGAATTGAGTTCTTGCCAACAATTTTTGTAGCACTAACATGTGTTTACTTCTCAACAGTTTGATCCTTGTCCATATCAGCAATGTGGGAGATAGCTAGGAAACAATTCCAGAGATTTGGGTCCAGAAAATCGTTTTTCACGTGTTGTTAGAACCACAACAAGCAGTGCTACGCTTTATTGCAGACCAATAAGCATATATAGGATTAGTGTTTCCAATTTAACTACTTCTAAGAATTTTACAGCTAGATATGAATAACTTTGTGGGCTTATGAAATTACACCAGACATCATTGCAGCGTGAACAGAGTCATCATCTCGTAGCAACAATTCAGTCACCAACCGCCCTAGAAATCATACAGGAGTTCTGCTAGCTCAGCCAACAACTGCACCAGCATCTCGAGGCTCCCACTTGCAAGAGATCACTGGTGGCAGTGCCTTACTCGCTTCTTCAGAAACGAATGGACATCACGGCCCCGTTCGCTTCGCTGAAAAAACAAGTTGAAATATTATTTCGGTTGATTTGTTGTGAGAGAAAATATTGTTTCGACTGAAAAGATAAGCTAAAAAGTACGGATTATAAGACAAGCGAACAAGACACACATTTCCCTCAAGAACTGTAGCATTTGAACCCTGCCTCAAATTTCTAAATACAGGAATCATCTCTGTTAAAAAAAATAAACATGATCCTTACATTTGTCGACATTGTATACTCACTGTACAATCTTGTTCTTTCCTATCCAACAAGCACTGTAGATGCAGTAACACAGCTCTTGGAACTTCTTTGCTTCCCTTAGTAGATATGACTTTATAATAATTAATAAACAACCCCTCCATTGTCAGCCACTTTACAACTTGACATCAATAAGAATCCAAAATCCAGCTAGAACATAATTTGGAAGAATATAAAACCAAGTGCAACACCTAAAAAATAAACTCAATGTCAGCAAAATGAATGGAAACAGACAGACAGGAAAGTACAACTAACTAATAACCTCATTTTGTGATTCTTTCTAGGCCACATTCTTATCAGGTTAGAAATTGGTTCAATAGTACCTTATAAGCATTCATATTCCATAATCACAGATAATGCAATATTATAATGTCCCCTGCAACGTTCCCCCATGCTGGATCTATTGCACTAGCTCACTAGTAGAATAATGGACTAGTTCACTAGTAGAATATATTTTTCCCAGTCAACCACATCCACTTGTGTCAAGATTGTTATGGTCACCTAAATCTCTACTTGTGCCTCAGCTTGAATGAAAATATAAATTTTATAGCATGATGTGGTTCAAATATAGAAGCTTTCTAGCATCACAATGTACCTTACTTAATGAAACATTGTTCTCCTGAAGATAATATATCAGGTCCCTTGTGCTCAGGTCTATTTTCTTATGAGAATTCCATTCCCTTTCCTCTGCATAATTTGTTGAGAACTCATGGTTATATTCATTCACATATGTTGACATAAACCAACAATCAATCATTACCAGTGTTGTGCAACCTAATCATTTATCGTTGCCCTGGAAGTACACCCTTTTGTCAAATCCTTGACACCATAAATAGGAAACAACAAACCAAAAAACAAAGAAATGCTATACCAACATGATGAACTGTTACAAGAACTGAATAGGATAGATTGTCAAATATATACAATCATCTGTCCATGGAAATCAATCTCCCTCATTGTTTGGAAACCATTTCCTGTTTACATTTCCTTTGTGGACACTAGCCCAAACTTTCCTTGAACGAAGGTTTTATAGTACTCCATGAGTTAACCCTCAGAATCAAATGTTAGGGCAAGAAATGGGTCAAATATGTCTCTCTCTTTTGAATCACACAATCACAGTATTTACTCATCGCCCTTTCAATTGCACCCATCCCTCTCAGTTCCCTACACAATGAACACTGAGCTCCATCTGTCACCCGTTTTCTCCTAGTAGAAGACCAAATAAAAACGGCTAAGGACTTTTCTATACTATTTGCAGTAAATAGCTACTAAATTAAAGAATGTTTTGTTAAAAACGGCTAAGGACTTTTCTATACTATTTGCAGTAAATGTCCTGGGGTGACATATTTTAAATTTGTCCAGTACCATTAACATATAATCAGTATTTCAAATGTAATTCGAGAATTTACTATCAACACAAGAGGTTTATAATTTCTTAAAATACTAACCTTTTCTTCCACCTTGCATAACTTCAATGCACTCCTTGTGGTGTCAATACCGTGCAAGAAATTGAAAATAACAGTAAATTGATGGTTAAAGAAATGGTTTTTATGTAGGATGACAGCAACTGAAAAGGTGAAACTGCAAGCAAATCAGGCTAGAGCAATCCAGATAAAATGAAAAGTGTACTCCTTTTAGCATGGCGCCAAGTTGCATAGAGACCCTAAACATGAATCCTTACAAGTGGGCACGAAGTCTCTCTTGGATAGCATTTAGGACTTCTTCCTTGTTTATAACAAAAGCCTATTCCTGAAGAGATCCTCATGGCCAGAAAGATAAGGCCCAAGTGGCACCTAAAATTCTATCTTATTTTATGCTCATGCATATAGGATCGTCCAAAGGTATAACCCTTTTAGAGTTCAACGAAGAAGAAGAGGAGGATCAGTAGGAGACGCCTTAGGCCACAGCTCCTGGAGAAGAGGAGCAAACTCTCGAGGACCTCCCTGAGTGTCCGGATCACTTGCCAACCTCTTTCCTCAAAGGCAAGCCTTGGAGCATTCTATGTCTCCCATGTTTTACAAAATATCACTTGAGTCATTTATATTTGATGCATTAGGTTATAAGAGTTGATTGGAAACACTTGATGCATAGAACTACCTTGTCTAGTTACATATACCTTTAACCCTATGTAGGTTCAGGATCGAATATATGCTTAGCCATGCTTAGACCGGTAAAAGTCGGGTGATTTCCTATCACCTGCGAGATATAGGTGGATACCGAAGCACGGTTGGCTATATTTGCTATCGTGGAAAAGAACCATGGGGTAATGTAAATGGAGGCCGGGCGGAGTCTATGTGTAGGTTGACTTGTATGATTCCGTCTGTGCCGGCTAAGGACCGTACCATTGTTGGCACTTCTGACAAGATTGAACGCATGTCTCTCACTTAGCTGGTTGGATAACTCGTTCCGACCGCCAAGCCGAGTAGCTCAACTCAAGCTGGGTCCCATTCTGTAAAAGTGCGCACTCTGGATGGTAGTAAGGATGTGCGGGGAGCCAGACATGAACCCAAGGACAGGCCGAGCCTGAATGTCCTGGCAATTGGTTGTCCCTGATTGTGCGGCGCTGGGCAAACCCACGAAATGTGGACCTGAGATGTACCAAAGGTAACCTAAGGTGTCTGTTGATTTGGTCTACCTGGGTTTGTGTTAGGAATAAATTCCCAGCTGGTTGAAATCGATTAGAATCATCGTCTCTCCCAGACAGTGAGAAACTTAGCTAGCTCCAACATCGTAGTAACTATATTATGGAATAATGGTTATGATGAACATGAAATTATTATACCAGCTATAGTTACTACTGCATGCTATTAAAAGATATACCACATGTTTGACACAGGTTAGTTACTAATCTAGAGATGAATAGTTATAATTAACTTGATGACCAAATTATAATTGTATACTTGAATTGGTAAGTTTTTATGCAAAATGTTGTCAAGCTAGCTCCACTTATAAAGCATTGCATGGTCCTTAGAGTCACTTTATTTTTGGTTTATGATGGGTAAGTCTAGTTGAGTACCTTCTCGTACTCAGGGTTTTATTCCCATTGTTGCATATGGTACAGTTTACCATGGCTATTGCAAGAACTACTTTTGTTCCGCCGTGGATGAGGAGTAAGCCCTGGGCAGGTATCTCTTATTAATCCTTCTCATATGCTTTTGTGGGTGTGATCATGAGCTGGCACTGTATTTGAACTATGATGGCAGATGTTAGTTTCAAACTTTAATTTGCTTCCGCTACTATTTTACTTGAACTTGGTTTGTAATAACCTTAACTCGTACTCTGATGGATGAACTGTATTTATGAACTTTATGTAACGTGTGATATGTATGTTGAATCATGTACGATCTTGGTTGTATGTTGATAGTTAATCGAGACCCTTCGTGGTACTCGACGGACTACCGGATTTATATGGGCTCAAGTATGATACTGCGACCGCTTACGGGCCGCCACTGTACTTGTGCTCTTATAAATTGGTCGGTTCTACTACAGTGGTGTTGCATGGGCAACGAGCAAGCGCGGCGGTGGTGGTGCGGCGGTGATGGTGCGGTGCTCCGCTTCGCTTCGGCGAGTGCGAGAGAGGCAAAGCGAGGGCGAGAGAGTGAGAATGGGAGGGAGCAGAGGCGTCGCCTCCCTCTTCACTCCCCTTTGGCCTGACCGGCGGACCTAGTGCCGGCTATCGGTGTTTCGAGTTGCCACCAACTAGTAAATTTCTAATATTGCGCATCTGGCTCGGATGGTGTGCTAAGAGGACACGAGGTTTATACTAGTTCAGGCAGAATGTCCCTACGTCCAGTTCATTGCTGCTGCTCGTGTTACTAGC